TTTTTTTTCTCCATTCCCTCCCTTCCCTTCACTCCTACTCGTTCTCTTCCTACTCTCTTCCTCTCCTCCTTCTCCTCTCTTCCTCTCCTTCTCCTTTTCTTTCACTACTCCTCCTCCTTTCGTTATATCCTTCCCTTCCATCTAATCCTATCCCCCCTCCCCCACCTCCCTCCCATTTCTCCCTTTTCTGGTAAAGATAAGAATAGAGAAACGCTTCCAGAAAAAAAAAATAAGAAAAGCATGGACAGGTAAAATAGTAAAAACAACACGGTTCTTATTACGTTTCAGTTATTTTTATTAAGAGGGTGATCTGTTACTAAGATTTTGTTTCCCTTGGAGAAAGTTTCCTTATACGGACACACACACACACACACACACACACACACACACACACACACACACACACACACACACACACACACACACACACACACACACACACACACAAACACATACAAAAAAATAACAGTACAAGGCATAGAAAAAGACAAACAAGTAAACGAACAAAACTCAATAAATAAATATTACGTATAAATAAAACAAAATGAAAGAAATTGATAAAAGCAAACAGACCAGGCAACCAGTTAGGATAAGCATGGAAAGATAGCACCAGCTATCCAGCAGTGAGCTATTTTCTGGCGCTGAACTCAAAGCTCATTACATCATTAGTCATGTAATTCAGAAAATCTCATAATGCCCTTTTTGGAAATTGAATGTGATAATTAACCTGATGTATTTTACACCAAATGCTCTTTATTGTCATGTTGACGTGTTTTACCCAAGCCGTCTGTTTGTTAGGGTCATTCTGTTGTGTTTTATCTTTGGGTTTACGTAGTTAATGCTGAATTTTCTTCTTTTTCCCTTTTATTAGCGTTATTTTTTTGTTATTCATGTTGTTATTATTATTGTTGTCAGTGTTATTGTTACCTTAATTGTTATCGTTTTTATTATTGGTATTATTATCATTATGATCATGCTTATTGATATTGTTATCATTATTATTGTAATTATTGTTATCAATGATACAAGTAATATTTTCAATTTTTTTATTGTAATTATGATTATTATCATTGTTTCATTATTATTATAATTATTAACATTATCATTGTCATTATCTTTATTATCATTACTATTTTTTCGTCTTACTATTATTATCATTGTTGTTGTCACTATTATTATTATTATTATTATTATTATTATTATTATTATTATTATTATTATTATTATTATTATATCATTATTATTATCAGTCATTATAATTATCAGTATTACTGCTTGCTTTATTTTTATTATTATTATTATTATTATCATTATTATTATTATCATTATTATTATTAGCATTTCATTATCATCATTATCATTGTTATTATCATCATCATCATTATTTCATTATTATTATCAATATAATTCTTGTCATTACTATTACCATTATCATTATTGTTATTATTATTATTATTATTACTATTATTAATGTTATCATTATTATTATTATAATGATAATAATAATAATTATTATTATTATCATTATCATTATTATTATTAATATCATTACTACTATTACTACTATCTATTATATTTAGTATTGTTATTATTACTATTAGTTACTATTATTTCTTATTTATTAATATTTATCATTATCATGTTATCATTATTATCATTACTATTATCATTAGTATTACTGATGTTATTATTATTGTCATTATTACTATTACTATTATCATTATCTTATTATTATTATCGTCATTATTACTATTACTATTATCATTATCCTTATTATTATTATTGTCATTTTTAATACCATTATCATTATTGTTATCATTAATATCAGAATTATCATTGTCACTATCAGTATAACAATTATTGATATTTTTTTTTACTACTACTGCTAATAATAAAATAATAACTATTTTTTTATCATCATTACTATTATTCAATACTGTTATCCTCATAGTTATCATTGTTATTATCTATTATCATGATTATAATTATGATTATGATGATGATGATGATGATTATTATTATTATAACTATTATAATTTTTCATATTATTATTATTATCCCCAATATTAATTGTATTATGATTATCATTATTACTATTAATATTGCCATCGTTATAATGATAACTTTAACTATTATCATTATCATCATTATGACTTTCTCATTAATATATTATTACTATTAATATTATTATCATAATCATTATCCTGTTATTGTTATTGTTGTAGTTTTGTTCATATTATTTCTGTAGCTGTTTAGGTATTACCATCATCATTAATCATTAGTATTATTTTCATTATTACTGTTATAATTGTTGCCATTATTGCTGGTATTATCTTAATTACTACTACCATCATTGGTATTATTATCATCGTTATTAGTAATATTACAATTTACCATCATCGCCATTAACATTGTCATTACTATCATTCTTCTTATTATTATCATTATTACTAATATTATTGCGTACTCGACTCTAAGGCCGATTTCAGCAGGACTGACATCATCTTTGGGCGCCACGTGGTTGAGGCCAGGTCTCACTGTGCACCCGCGTGAGGCTGCCTTGCACCTCACCCTTTCGGCTTGACTGCGCCATCACTTCGCATTCCCTCTCATAAAGATCCTGGGCTGTCCACTCCACAGCGAGCGTACTGGGTACAGCACACCGCCTGAAGGCTGGCCTTCGCACGCCTTGCATCCTCTCTCTCTCCGTTTTTTTCTTTCTTTCTTCTTCGAGAAACTCTGCACATCTGCACGAGGCTGGTGTTTCACCTGTCCAACAACCACCAGAGATTGACAAGAGGTAATATCTACTTGGTTATTTTTATACCAACTGAACGTAATTTTGACCAAGTCTCATTACTTGAATGGCGTTGAAGTCACCAAGAAAAAATAAAGATTTATTTATTTCCAAAATTAAATGTAAATATGCACAGTCCGAAATGCACGGTTATCGCTTCAACTATGTATTATCGCTTTTTTCTTCGTATCCTTTCCCTTATTTTTCATTTCCCATTGTTCTATCTCCGGCTACGTCTTCAAAGTATTCTTTCAGGGTATAAGTACCCATGGGTTTGGGAAGGGAAACACTTCTAACTTCTGTTCTGAACGTTAGTCGTGTTCTTAGTGTTATTAGACCTGTGCTCTCTTGAAGTTCGTGTCTCCCCTTTTGGACTAAGGCATGTGACATGCTGTAGTACCATCTACAGGGTGCACTCTCTTTCATGAAGTCCCAAAGTCATACTCAATGAATGCAAGTGTTAGAGAGCTTAGGAGGACCTAGTGAAATAAAAGAACAGTGCCTGAGAATCTGTCCCTCCAGTTTTAACATTAATCTTTACAGCAAAGTTATTACTTAGTTTTCCTTCCTCCCAACTTACGGGGCTGTACCTCCCGGAGAAAGATTTTTTTGCAGTCTCACCTAAATATTTGTCAGGGCCTTTATACTTTTCTAAATGTGTTGTCTCGGTTGATTCCTGCCCGACCTTGTGTGTGTCTAGGCAGTCTTCATGCTCTCTGTTCCTTTTGGTTAGCTCTCAACTTTGCTCATCTCCACTAATGGAGTTGGGACGCTAACTTAGGCGAATATACACTTATATATATATATATATATATATATATATATATATATATATATATATAAATATATATATATATATATATATATATATATTGTAGGGATATCTGGCATTAGTTCCATGTACATCACACCCGTTATGATAAAGTGGTAATGCACACATCTTTATCTATTTCTGAAAAGACCTGTACAACTCCCTAGTGAGCGCAATTTACTCCTTAATTAAACGTAGAGCTTTCACTTAGTCCCAGTCAGAAAAAAAAAAGACTCATTCACCACCTCTAAAGTTCTGACCAAGGCTGAATGGTTAAACAACACATTGCTTATTATTCTGATACCTCGCAACCCATGAAAGAATATTAAAGAGCTAGATTAATCGGAATGTATTAACCCTCCAGCAGGCGGATACTTAAACCGAATGGAAGAGGAGTTCTATGACCTTGCATCTTTCTTTCGAACACTTCCACGCAGATTCTCAGTCTATATCCTTTATTGCATTTACACACATAAATCCAACATTCAACACACATGCTCTGTATTTTCCTCCCACTTTTTTCTTATATTACATTAACAATGCGCAACACAGACGGTCCCCGAATCTACTAATCGGGTGGTGGTTATTATAACTATTACTATTATTATTGCTATTACTATTATCATTATATTTCTATTATTATTTTCATCATTAGTGTTTTCATTTTAAACATTAACAGCTTTACTAGCATTATTATCATTATTAGTATCATTAGTATTATTAGTAATACCATTATCATTAGTATTATCATCAACCTCGTCATTAATACAAACATCATTTTCCTTGTCATTACTATCATTATGACCAATGTCATGCTTATTCCTACTGTTTAATACAGTGTTGTTTTTCCTCTCTTCTCATTTTCATGTGTACCTTCATCTATTGCTATCATCATAAACAGCAGTAATATTAGTATTGGCATTATCAAATTTGACATTACCAGTAGTATTAGTGTCGATATTAGTAAAGATATTAGTATTAGCATTAGTGTATATTAGTATTATCGCTATTAATAGCAGTAGTAGAACAACTCCATTATCAATAGTTTTGTGTATTCTTGTTTATTTCTTTACTATTAAACTTTGTGATTACTATATCTTTCATATTTTATTTTATCGTTCTCCTCTCCTTCTCATCTTTTCATCTCCTTTCTCCACCTCTCATCTTCCTTTGTTTCATCATCATAACAGTATGTGAATATTCCTCGCTCGAAAAAAAGGCCGAAATAAAACCATTCATTCTTTCCATTGGCCATTTATTGCTGGGATTCCTCTCGCTATATATAAAAGGCACTTATTACAAAAAGGTAGAAAACATCCCTACATCAACAAGCACATTTTTTTTTTTTATATATATATTTTTTTTGTAATCGCTGTTTTAAACCTTACTTCTACAAATGACAATAATACGACTACACCTTGGCGTGTTTATGACACAATTGTCTGAATGGACTGTCATGTGCGGTGTATTATATTTATGGATCTGTACAACCTCAACATAACCTTGATGAGTCAGGGTTGAGGGGGTCAGGTTAGCAGGAGGGGGGGGGGGGTTGGGTGAAAGGGGTAAGGGGAGTGGAAGGGTGAAGTGGGAGAATGCAGAGTGGTGGAAGGGAGTGAGAATAGGGGAAGGAGGAGACGTGTGAAGGTAGAGGGAGGGGGTGGAATAGGGTTAAAAAGGGTGAAGGGCGGGGATAGGGTAGGAAGAGGGAGAGGGGCGGGGTGAGGGGTGAAGATAGGGGAGGAGGGAGGGTGGGGATAGGGGAGGGGTGAGGGGTGGTGATAGGGGAGAGGTGGAATGGGGGAGAGGGGTCGAAGGAATGGAATGGGCGTGGAAAGCAGTGAAAAGGGTGAGGGGTGAGGACTGGAGTAGGGGGTAAGGGATAGTGGGTGGGGGAGAGGTGAGGGAGGGTGCAGGTTAGAGTAGTGAGGTTAAACTACTATCTATTTATCTCTTTATCTATTGCATTTATTCTGGCTGTTTATCTATTAATATATTTTATCAATGAAAAAGTTAGGGGGTGAAAGGGCGGTTATTGTTACGATTATCATTTGAATTAACTTTATTATTAATATAATTTTAAAGATAAGAGAGAGAGGATGCAAGAAAAAAATAAAATAAAATAAAGAAAAATAAAAGAAAAAGAAAATATGATAAACAGATAAAGATAAATAAAGCATAATAATAGAGATCCTTTATTATTCAAATGTCCAATGTTGACTTACTAAAAACAGTAATATAGGTCTCACTTCATAGCCTCCGGGTGTAGAGTCAGCTCGCAAAACATGACTTTTCACTTGAAATTCATTATTTGCTTCAAAAGGGACTGCTGGGAATTAGATAACGAAGTTGCACAAACAAACAACACCGGATGAAAAAAAAAGAAAAGGCGGAAAAAGAGAAAGGAAAGGATAAATACAATTAAAAATAAATCGAAAGAAAAAGAAAAGAAAAAGAAAAGAAAAACGAGGGTAAAGGGCTGAGTGAGAAACGTTTATTGACACGAAGATTAAGTGAGAACAAATGTTTTCTTCGCTCTATTCTTCTTCTTTTCAGCCTCCCCCTCCCCCTACCCCCTCCTTCTTCGCCTTCTCCTCCCTTTTCTTATCTTTCTTTTTTCGTTCTTCTTTGTCTTTTCATATCCCTTCTTCTTCTTCTTCCTCTTCTCCTTCTTATTCCTTTTCTTCTTCAATTTCCTCTCTTTTTCTCTCCTTCTTCCTTTTCTTCTTCTTGTTCCTTTTCCTCTCTTTTTTCTCTCCTTCTTCCTTGTCATCTCCTTCTTCTTCTTCTTCTTCTTCTTCTTCTTCTTCTTCTCCTTCTTAGAAATGCTGGACTTTCTTTATTGACGTCAAGTCTGAACGAGAGACATGACCGTTTATTAGGTTTTCGGGGACTCGCCGAAGGAAAACATTTACCTGGGTGACAGGACAGAGTGGAGGATAAAAACGTTTATGAGTTTTTCGCTGCCCGAGTGGATACAAACGTTTACCAGGTGACAGGACAAGGTGGAACTAAACGTTTATTAGATTTCCGAAACAGAACGAAAAAGATTTATCTATGTCAAGGGAGTAAACGTTTAAATCAGATTCCTAGAACGAGGGACTAAATGTTTGATTTAGTGCGGAGGAAAGGCGCGGAGTTGGCCAGGAGGCGAAGGGGGGAGAGGAGGAGGAGGAGGGGGAGTTGGCCAGGAGGCGAAGGGGGAGAGAGAAGGAGGAGGAGGAGGAGTGGGAGGAGGAGGAGGAGGAGGAGGAGGAGAAGAAGAAGAAGAAGAAGAAGAAGAAGAAGAAGAAGAAGAAGAAGAAGAAGAAGAAGAAGAAGAAGAAGAAGGAGGAGGAGGGGGAGGAGGAGGAGTTGGCAAGGAGGCGAAAGGGGGAGGGGAGGAGTGGGAGTGAGAAGAAGAAGCAAAAGCAAAAGAAAAAGAAAAAAAAGAAGGGAGAGAAGAGCGGGAGAGCAGAAGTGATGATGGAAGCAGAGCAGGGTACGGGGCACGGGGAGAAAGTAGCAGAGGAGAGGTGTATAGGCAAAGAAAAGGGAGTGGGGGAGTATGAAAAAAAAGAAAAAAAACGGAGATAGAAGAAAGGAAGGTAGAGGAGAAGAATAAGCTATAAGGTAAGAAAAGGGAAAAGGGGAGATAGAAAAAAAGAGGCGAGAGATGAAAATGAGGCAGAAGAGGAAGAGAAGGGCTAAGAGGAAAAATAGGAAGAAAGGAGGAAAAACTTGAGAAGAAGGTAAAAGATACGAAGGTAAAAGATGAGAAGAGGGACAGGCAAGAAGTGAGAGAAGAATTAGGAAAAAAAGGAAGCCGAAGAAATGAAGGAAAAGGAAGAAGAAAAGAAGATATAATAGGGAAAATAGGAAGAAGAGAAAAAAGAACGGGAAGGGTAGGAAG